GCAAGGACTGCTGAAGGGTGAGTCGTTCTAACCGGGGAGTCGTGCACGGTGACCGAGAGGAGACGTTTCAAGGGAGTCTTTTAAAAAGTAGGAGTTCGCCAGGTGGAAGCATAAATTACTATTTAAATGAAAGCCTGGTGTTTTTAAAACAGCTCATTCTCATGAGTAATACATCCCTTCTGTTTTCAAGAAATATTGAAATGATAATTGAGGCGGCAAGGGAGTGTGGGAAAAGCGCTAGCCTCATTCATCCTCTCCATCTGTTTCCCGGGGCTTCGGCATGTTGTTGGCTGGGGCCCCACGGAGACTGGCATTTCCAAAACTACAGGGGGCAGTGTGGAGCACTTGAAAACAAGACACACTGACTCGACAGCCTGACCCCAGACCCCCAGACAGCACAGGCAGTGCTCCCAGCACCTGTGCGGAGCAAGCGCTGTAAGTGGGCGCGTTTTACTCTCACAGAGCCTGGATGAGACCACTGCGCTCTCCCAGCTCCCAGAGAGGAAACGGAAACAGAGAAGCTACGCAGGCAGGCCCAGGTCACTTCGCTCTGGAGTCCGCCGGGCTTTGCACTCCGTGGTATGTTGACTGTGTGGTTGGGCAGAAGCCGTCCAGAAACTTAAGAGTGGTTCCGCACCAGAAAGCTAGGGTTCAAATCCCAGCACTGCCCGGGACCAGTTATCAACCTTGGCAACGTTATTTTTCTCTCTAGGCCTCTAGGTTTCCTCATCTGTAGGAGGGGACGAATACTATTTGAAACCTGCAGAGGTGAGGCTAGAGCTGAAAGAGGAGCTACCAGGAGCACGGAGGCAGTGCCTGCGCTGTGTAAAGCTCACGTAACCGTTTAACATCGGCCGGTGATGCTGTGGCTGCCCAGTGGGCGCTGCAGCCAGGTACTGCTTCAGGACGGAGGATACCAGCGGCCTTCCAGAGAGCCGTGCCCAGGACCCTCCAGCTGTCCTTCTCCACTCCGTTTGGGCGGGACTGCTTTGCAGGACAGAAACCTGATTTGATTCTCTGGTCAGTTTAAATGACCCAATGCAAAAAAGAGGTGGATGCCAACCCAGGGTACCTCTCAGTGGATCAAACCAGTCATGTGCAGTGTCGGGGCTGTTTGGGTACTGGAAGCCCCAGAACTCCCGATGGTTGATGCTGAGGCTGCAGGTGAGGCTGCCGGTGAGCAGAGGTGGGCGAGGCAGGGCCGTGGGTGAAGTGCTACCTGCCCTGAGGTACCAGAGGCTCGTAGCAGCTGTGCAGTGCCCTTCCCTCCAACGGCCAGTGTTTCTCCTCTGCTCCCCTTTCTCAAGGACCTGGATGACCATCCCCCTTCCATGACAAAAGCCTCCCCCAGATAACAACCATGCCATAACCCAAGACCAGCTCCACGCCGTGGACGAGCAGCGTGGCTGGTCCCTTCTCTGCCCTCTCTGCTTCGCTGAGTACCAGCCCCTCACCCGTAGTGCACTCTAATTCTATCCTCCGGGCAACTGTTCCTCAAAATCCAATACACGTCCTTCCAAATAAGATCATTTCCCAGAGAAGCATCTCCTGACCACCCATGCCGAGTAAATCAGTCAGCCGGGAAGCAGCTTCGCACAGGGTGTTCAGAACAGAGGGTCTGGGGCCAGGTTTCAGGACCTCCTTCCTGACTGCCCTCAGGACCTGCCGGGTTTGTGCCTCCGTTTCCTCATCCGTAAGTTGGAACGTTATACTTACTGTAATAATTTACTACTGTCACCCTTGCAAAGGCCACAGTGTATCCCCCACAGCTCTGGAGGCCAGAGTCAAGAATCAGTCTCGCCGGGTCAAAGGAAGGCATCAGCAGGTCCACACATTCTCCGAAGGCCCTGGGAGGATCCGGTCCTGGCCTCGGTCGGCGTCTGTGGCTGCCTCACCGCAGTCTCTGCATCTGTGTCCTGTGGCCTCTCCTTTGCTGGGTGTCTTAAATCTCCCTCCACCTCTCTCTTATAAGAACACTTGTGAGTAAATGAGTCCCTCATTTCAGGAGCTTTAACTTAGTCAGATCCGCAGAGTTTTCAATGGATGAGGTGACATTCACAGGTATGAGGACTGGAACAAGAATTTCTCTCCCACTGTGAAGACTAAAATGGTCCTTTTCCTCAAACTCTTATTTGAAGATTTGCCATCCTGTTGGTTAAATCAGGTGTGTGGGTGTGTGTGTGTTTTAAAGAGAGATTTTTGCTATAGGGTACATGTGCTCACTGGAGAGACAGAGAGACAGAAAGTGAGAAATCACCCCCCAGGGGGGAATGGCCATGCCATAATCCCTTCTCCTCCAGTCTCCTCTCGGGATTTTGGGCAGGCACGCATATGCACCCAGTGTGAGTTTTAAGCCACTGGGTCTGGGACTCAAACAGCAGTCCACTACATGGGAGTCCAGCAACATAACCATTATGCCATCTGCTGGTCCCAAAGTCAGGTTTTAAAAATCCTTTAAAACAAACCTGGCAATACAAGGCGGAATTGATCGACTTTAAGCATCTCTACCCAACCAGTGCACTTCTAGTTCTCAGGTCTCTCTGGGGGACATCTCAGAGGTGCTGGGAAGGCAGGAAAGGACCAGCAAGCATTTCCTGGCATAGTATGGAAGTAGCATGTCCTGAGCCATCCGGTTCAGGGACCTCTGAGTCATGCTCACTTAGAGCTCCTGGTAGACAAGACTTTCACGTCTTACTATAAGCATCGTTATATTGAAGCATATTTATCGCGTTTGAACTTTTTTTTTGGGGGGGGAGAGATTTTTGCTATAGGGCACGTGCACTCGCCAGAAAGAAACAGAGAGATAGAAAGCAAGAAATCACCCCCCCCCCAGGGGAGATGGCCACGTTGCAATCCCTTCTCCTCCATCCTCCTCTCAGGATCTTGGGCATGCATGCACACGCACTGGCGTGAGTTTAAGCCACCAGGTCCAGGACTCGAACCGCGGTCAACTACATGGGAGTTCAGCGACATAGCCATTACGCCAACTGCTGGTCCTGAAATTCTTACAACGAACACATGTTACTCTTTCTTTTCCCCTAAGGTTTTTGTGATGGGGCACATACACTCACTGGAAAGAGACAGGGAAAGTGAGAAATCACCCCCCCAGGAGGGATGGCCCTGCCTCATTCCTTTCTCCTCTGTTCTCCTGGGATCTTGGACCTGCAGGCACACACACCTACTATGGATTTTCAAACCACTAGGTCTGGGACTCGAACTTTGGTCGGTCATGTGGGCATTCAGCATCTTAACCACCATGCCACCTGCTGGTTTCAAGCATGTATTACTTTTCCAAAAACCCAAAAGAAATAACATTTTTAAATTCTGTCAGTGTCTGCCAGCAAGCGTAAGAGTAACATCTCTCTGGATGGTAATACTGTCGGCATCTGCCCTCAGGGCTTGATCTTGTGAAGGAGGGAGAAAGAGAAAGGAAGGAAAGAAAGACGCAGAAGCAGAGATGCAGGTGAACACAGACAAGCTATGCTTCTCAGTCATACTGAGCTTCTTTATTTATGCAGTTTACCAGGCACAGTGGGCCATTTGCAAGCTTTCAAGGATGTGGTCGAAGTTCTACAATTAGAGATAAGGACGTTAGTGTAGACGTTTTTCCACCTTGTTACTATCACGTGTGATCCTATTATGCGTTATAGGCCAAGCCAGTTTACTTATGCTATTCCTCTGCAACTCCAAGGAAGGCTGTCTAATTATCCATCAAAGAGGATAATGTGTAAGCCATAAACATTGTATAAAACAGGCATCACATGACCTAGCCAGAGTCCGGATGCTTCCCGTGTTCCGCAGATGTTTCTGCAGAATCCATGGCATCTAAGGCATGTGTCAGCCAGCTCAAAGGAGTAATTAACAAGGCATGCAGATTACTGCGTCCTACTGCCAGGCTACATACCCTCACAAAAGTCTTTTACGGTTCTCTGATTACCCAGAGTCCAGACCCCTTACAACAATGGTTCCAGATCTTTATAATCTGATCTAATCTGTTTCTCCAAACTCCTTTCTTGTCAGTTTTCCCCTAAAGAAACTATGCGTAAACTACAGCCATTGACCTTCTAACCCCCATGTTTGTTCATTCTAGTACTTCTGAGTGTCACATACACACTTCGCAGTGTCTAGGACCTGGGGTCATGGCAGTGAGCAAATGAACATCCTTGCCCTTGGGGGACTTCCATCCTAATGGGCGTTTCTCCCACTGCTAACAGGCAGTGTTCTCTCTTCCCGATTGCTCTCTCCTTCTCTGCCAACATCCTACCCGTCCTTTCTGCCCCACCCAGTCTAGATGCTGCATTCTGGAACCAGCAGATGGCATAATGGTTACATCACTGGACTCACATGTAGTTAACCACAGTTCAAGTCCCAGACCCAGTGGCTTAAAACTCATGCCAGTTATGTGTGCATGCATGCCCAAAATCCCGAGGAGAATGGAGGAGAAAATATTGTGGTGTGGCCTTACCCTCTGGGGGTGATTTCTCATTTTCTGTCTATCTCTCTCTGTCTCTCTGGTGAGCACACATGCCTGATAGCAAAAATATCTCTTTAACAAAACAGCTGCTGCGTCCTCTGAGAGGTCCCTCAGGTTACCCTAGATCATAGACAAAGATCTCACGTCTCAGCATCCCTTCTTGCACCTTCAGAAGAACAGTACTTCTTTCCCCTGGTCTGCAGACAAGCTGTATTTCAGGTGTGAAAGAAACAAGACCGGACTTGGACTCAGGAGACAGGCTGTGAACTCTGCCTCGCCTCTGTGAGAGCCAAGCAGAGAACAAGAGCGTCCTCCTCACGAGCTTTTCGTGAGGCATAAAGGAGGCATGCATGCGAGTGTTGGGCAGGTCCAGAGTGGCGGTCGGCCGTTTCTCTCTGAATGAGCAGCTATAACTGATAAGATGCTTTCGGGTTTGTGTTAAGCAAAGGTGCTCTGCCCCACACTCAGCAAATGTTTCTTGAATCTAATCCGAGTGCAGTCTGACAGTGCCGGCACTCTCTTTCAGGTATTCTGTTTATGAGGACCCAGCAGGCTGGCTGAGTATTAACCCCATCAACGGGACGGTTGACACCACCGCCGTGTTGGACCGCGAGTCCCCCTTCGTCCACAACAGCGTGTACACTGCCCTCTTCCTGGCAATCGACAGTGGTGAGTGACTCGGAGCAGCGTATCGAGGGCACAGTGTCCAGCTATAAGCGTATTTTTACAGGTTAGGGGTTTTCTTGGGAGGGGTACAGATGTGTGCATGCAGGAAGCCAGTGCGTAGACACACTCGTCACATCCATACTCTCCCCAGGGCCTGGTAGCTTCGGGTCTTTGTGGAGAGGTGAGCAGTGTCCAGTGAGGGTCGGAGCAGCCCCTGGACCTAGCTCCAGGTGGCCCACCTCAGGCAGGCGCCGAGGTTAGGAAGCCACACAGATGTCCTCCATCTCGGCGTCATGCTCTCCCTTGCAGAGAGGGCTCTCTGACTTCATGTAAGCTGAAGGACCGTCCCAGAGGGCTTCATTGACCCTGCCCCCAACAATCCAACCGCTGCCCTGGCGTTTATCCTGCAAAGGTGCGCTACTGTGGAAAGACATCAGAGATACTTAGCTAGGCGCTTCATAACCACAAAACAATCGCTGGCAGTTCAAGAGCCCATAGTGCAGCAGGCATGAGCTGGACCCTCGTGTGGATGACGGGGACACAGCAGTGAGTCGGACAGAAATCCCATCCTCGTGGAGCTGCTGCGCCGGCGGAGAAAAGAAGAAAATTAAGGAAAGTGCCTAAGAAGCTACTGGGAAGAAAGAGAACATGCTGTGTAAGAAACAGGAAAGGGAAACAAAAAAAAGAGAGAGCAAAAGTCAGGGTACTACAGCTTCAACCAGTGGGGGGTTTTCTATGCAAAAATGCATCATGACTTTGCCGACAACCCAGTGGGCAGCCTAGAGGGCTGTCAGTCCATTCAGGCAACCAGAACAAAGTGACATGGACCGGCTCGGAACAACAGAAGTGCATTTCTCAGAGTCCCAGAGGCCGAGGCGTTTGTGATGGAGACCCTGGCAGCTGCAGTGCCGGGCGTCTGTTTTCTGGTTCAGAGACGGTGCCCTCTTGCTGTCCACACGTGGCAGAGGGGCAGAGCAGCTCTCTGGGCTCTCCTTTACAAGGCGCTGGCCACGTTCACGAGGGCTATTCTTCATGACATAACCACCTCCCAAAAGCCCCATCTGCTGATGCAGTCATCTTGGGGATTAGAGCCTCCACATAGGGGGTCCAACAGATGGTGTAATGGTTATGTCACTGGACTCCCACACGGTCGGCCACAATTTGAGCCCCAGACTCAGTGGCTTAAAACACACCAGGCATGTGGGTGTGTGCCCGAAATCCCAAGAGGAGAATGGAGGAGAAGGGATTGCAGCATGGCCATCCCCAAGGGAGTTGAGGGGGGGGTGATTTCTCACTTTCTGTCTCTCTGTCTCTCTCTGTTTCTCCAGTGAGTGCGTACATCCTATAGCAAAAATCTATATAAAAAAAAAAATTCAACATAGGAATCTCAGGGGAGTGTGCCTGGAACAACAGAAACAGACTTGAAAGAAGAAATCTAGGTAACATCTGAAAGGAAGAAACAAGGCCTTATGAACACGTATTGAGGGCCAGCCAGGCAGTATGATGGTTAAGGTGACGGGATCCCACCTGCCCAGTTGTGCAGTTCAAGTCCTGGACCTGCAGCTTGAAAAACACACTAGGTGCAAGCTCAAAATCCCAAAAGGAAAATGGACGCTAAGGGATTAGGGCATTGCTGTCTTCCCTGGGGGGGTGTTTTCTCACACACATACATGCTCCCCTCCCCTGGTCTCTCTGGGAGCGCATGATCCTCTAGCAAAACAAACAAACAAACCCATACACAAACATGCTGACAATGAAGCAAAACATTTCTCGTCCGGAAATCGGAAACAGGTGATTGCAGTGACAGAACAGCCCACTCATTCCAGAGGATTGCTTTCACCCTGTTTCCTGTGGGTAGGTGTTGAGATGACATCCACAAGAGGCTGGTGGTACAGGACCAGGATAGAGGAGAGAAGACATGCGTAGGGAGTTCCCCGTGAATACGGTGGGAGCCGTCAGAACTAAAGAGCTTCCCAGAGGAATAGGTCTAGATAGTAGTGCTGAGGGCATAAACGCTGGATGACGATAAGCCAAGACCATTTAAAATACTGTTTAACTGAAAAGTATCCGTTGAAGACCAGCTAAAGTCAAGGTTTCTGTGCTACATAAAAGTATCTGTACTTTGAAAAATTTCTCAACTGAGAATGCCATGAAGGGAGGTTGAAACATGTCATAGTACAGTTGCCATTGCTTAGGAAATAGTTTGGTAAATTTTTTTTGAAAGGTTTGTTGTTGTTGTTGTTGTTTTTGCTATAGGGCACGTGCACTTGCCAGGAAGATAGAGAGAGATAGAGAGACAGAAAGCGAGAAATCACCCCTGGGGGGATGGCCACACCGCAATCCCTTCCCCTCCATTCTCCTCTTGGGATCTTGGGCACACACACACACACACACACACACACACACACACGGCCTGAGTTTAAGCCACCAGATCTGGGACGCAAACTGCAGTCAACTACATGGGAGTCCAGCAACATAACCATTACGCTAACTGCTGGTCCCAGTTTGTGTAATTATTAAACAACAACAACAACAAAACTGGAAATGTAGCATTTTAATCTTTACCAGAAACTAGAGCTTTCTTATTGGTGTGTCGTAATCAATTAAGTGACACTTTTTGTGTGTCTACCTTGATGACAAATATCGTGGCAAACCAAATCACCATTTGCACATTAGGAAACAGAATTTAGTTTACATTCTCAAAGTCCTGTCACTAGGATATCATTTTTCTGCCTTTGGTTTCTTACATCTTTAACATTCTTTAAATAAAATAAATATTGATAGCATACTATAGTAAATAACTTACATAACATACTATATTTGAGACATAAAACGGAGTGTTTCTGCTGAGGAAACCCAGTGTCATCTGTTCTCTCAGCGTTCGGCATGTACACATGTGCTCCGGCTGTGTAACTGTGAAAGCTGCTTAGAGACCGAGTCCAGATTTCCACTTCTATAAAATGAGGAAGATAATTCCTACTTACAATGTTGTAAGAAATGAGAACATGAAGTGCTGTGCCCTCCAGACTCTTATCAAAAGCTACATTCCATGTTCCCTAAATGTTAATCCCACCCAGTGGGGGTTCTGGAGGGGAAAAAGTAGAGGCAAGAATGATCCCATGACCCAAGGAAATTACAGCTTGAGATAAACTTCATTCTACCTCTGTTAATACAAATATCAGACAAGGAAATTAAAAAATCTGGTGTCACAGATGTTTCCAGAGGACTGAAATGTCCCTACAGATGCAACGAGAAAACAGGTTGGCATTAATATACAGAACCTTCATTAAGGATGTTCATCTTGAACAAGGCCCAAAAGACTTCGAGCAAAAAGAACATAAATTTTAAAAGGCCTCATAAGTCAAAGTAACTTTTGTTTACAGATGCCTTTTTGTCACTCACTGAAAATTTGTCTCTAGGTATTATGTTTAACCAGGAAGAACCAACACTTATTATTAGATCAAAGTTAATAGTACTAACTTATGTCTCAACTTTATCCAAAGTGAACATTTGTTTTTATTCATTTTAAAGAAATTCAATTTATTTGATGGAATGAAAAAATACGGATTTTTGTCATGTAATACTAGGAGGGCTAAAGCAAAATAAATTGATATTCTCTGAACAAGGAGTCACTCAGGAATTTATGCCAAAGCATGTCAGTAAAATATATGGCTGCAGGACCTTCCGGGTAAGTTGTAAGAGACCAATATCTCCACTGTAAAACTGGAAAAATCCAGATAAATTCCACACACTAAAGACACTAGCCATCTTAATTGTAAATGTATCAAATTGCTATGGAAACAATGAGGCTTAGGTAAACTAAAATACCAAAGAGAGAAGAGCCATTTCAAAAAGAACCTAAGAGGGACCAGCAAATAGCGAAATGGGTACACTGCTAGACTCCCACATAGCCGACCGCAGTTTGAGTCCTGGACCAGTCAACTTAAATTCTTGCCGGGCACGTTTGCATGCATGCTCAAGATCCCAAGAGGAGAATGGAGAAGGGATCGCAGTATGGCCATTCCTCCTGAGTGATGTTTTCTCGCTTTCTACCTCTCTGTCTCTCTCTCTCTGTCTTTCTGACAAGTGCACACACCCTATAGCAAAAACCTCTCTTTAAAAAAAATTTTAAAAGAATGTAAGACAGTCATTTGTTCATTTCCTCAAAGGGTATTTTCTGATTCTGAGTGAGAGTCAGTCCTGGCCCAGGCAGAGGGCCTAGGATGCAAGGAAAGAAGTCAGGATGTTTGTGAGTTGGGGGGGAGCTGATATGATAGGCTGGAAATGAGGGGCTTTAAAGGACAGAGGAAATCCCCTGGGGTCTCATAGGAAACAGAAACCTACCAGAGGAAGCAAGTGCTTCTCAAACACATAACCATTCTTTCATTTAAGATATTTCTGAGGGACCCGCAGATGGCATAATGTTTATGTCACTGGACTCCCAGGTAGTTGACCACAGTTCAAGGGTCAGACCTGGCAGCTTGGACTCATGCTGGGCAGATGTGCATGTGTGCCCAAGATCTGAGAGGGGACTGCGGCATGGTTATCCCCCCGGGGGGGGGGGGTGATTTCTCACTTTCTGTCTCTGTCTCTCCAGCAAGCACACACACCCCATAGCAAAACTTTCTTTAAAAAAAAAAAAGATATTTCAGAATACACTGGAAGTTGACTGAGTCTTGATAAACCTGCAGCCCAACTTGACCCAGCTCAATGACATTGATGAGGCAAGCTTCATTTTATCTGGCTAACACAGAGGGGAAGGAATCCATAGTAGAACATGTCATCTGGAGCCTCTGTCAAAGAATCAAAAGTATATCATTGATCATGAAGAGAAAAAAATCAGACCTATGGAGAATCCATATACTGAATTAGCACATAAGAACTTTAAGATAATTATGACTAATATGCTCAAGAAAATAGAATAAAAGATAGATTAAAACAGAATTATACCAATGACTTCGAATTTATAAGAAAGGATCAAATGGATATCTCAGAACTGAAAT